GAAGATGATGCAGATGAATTATAACTCGATCCAGTCACCACTTATTTCTCTAGTGAAGGTTTCCTTTTGGTAGCTAAGTTATTTCTGTCATATGTAACTCTTCAGCTGTTTAGATTTACGGCCTGTTTCACAGAAGTATAAATTCTCTCAACCGCTCAACATTTGCAATTATCACTTTAGCGGTGGGCATCTGTTTCGGGTGGTGAAAAATCTTGCCAAATAAACCGATCAAAGAATTCGATTCGATTAAATTCAGTTTTTCGGGTTGATTTCTTTATTAAAAATTCGGTTCATTTTGAGTATTTTAGAATATTAGTTTTTCGGTAATTTTGCTAGGAACCGGTTTATTATTTTAAACATCGGAAGTTTTTACATGAACAAAGTTTGGAGAAGGAAAATATCAAAACAGAGCATAGCAATAAAGACTAAGTAAAGACTAAAGAGGGAAATCTAGTAGGTATCCAAAAAGACTCAAATATTGAGTTCGAGAGGGATAAGCAGCAGACGCCGATGGGAAAGATGCTCAAGAGAAAAGCATATTAAGACTGCAGAGCCAGCCCTTCAAAAATTACAATCAATCATCGGTCTTATCCGAACTGGCTTTTAAGTTAATGAGATAGCATAGCCATTATGGTCCTCTTACTATATAAGATTAGTAGTGATGGTCAAACAATCAATAAAAGGTCCACCACACCATATCACGTCATAAGGCCATCAGATCATAGCAAAATTGTCATTTACACTACTTTCTTTAACTCAAGCCGTTGTATAAATGCGTACTCTGAAGCCACACCCAAGAAACTTGCATTCGTTTGTTTTTTGATTGCAGGTATTCCTCGGAGATTTGGAGGAACCTAACTTGTTCTCTCTCATCTCTAACAGATTTTTAATTTGCTTGCTCTATATGATAATTAGGTAGACATGTATGATGTGTCAGTTGTTCGAGATGCCAAGTATTGCCTAAATAGAGACGGTTAGTGAAAATCTTGTCATATATATTGACATATTAACTACATATTGTAACAAATAAAGATGTATAAAATTCTCGCGTATAGTGTCTAGTACCTTATATTACACAAATTATCACGTAGCTAAAGCCTATGTTGCGATGACAGAAATAATTGTGTATCAATATCAACTAACCAAACTATTAGAAAGTTTAATTTGGCATGGACTGATCTAATTTAAGGGTCAAGATGACTTAGACGAGATCCATTGATCGGAGGTAAAAGCCATTAATCACTTTTCATTCTTTCTTAGACGTGCCTTCTTATGCCATTGTTCTAATGCCCTTGAAGTTTGTTCATCGAACACTGATCGCTTCATCGTGGATCCCATCTGTCAAAATATATTTTTAAAATTAATTAGAATTGCATGTTTTTTATGGAGAATATATTTCTGGAACAAAAAGAATATATAGATGTGACATGCCTGAGTAACGAGAGCATAAAGGGGTAGTGTGATATAACTGCATAGGAATTGTACTCCTACCCTGTATCCATTCCCATGTGTTCAATTGTCATAAACTAAAATTTCTTATAGCACAAGAAAACGAAATGCTTGCCAATGAGAACATATTACTTACCCTAGACAGACACGAACAATTATAAGGCCAAAATGGTGATGAAAGCATGACCTTAACCCGAACTCGTACTGCAAAAAAAAACTCATTGATTAGATACCTAAATAACAAGGATTTTTATATTGGGAAACTTAAAGGACAAGTTACAGTGTAACTTACCCATATCCAAAAAAAGTAAGTAATCTCAAAAGCGTTCTGAAACAGAACAAAGTGGATAATATGAAGGACTAGAGCGGGTCGGCCAAACCAAAAATGCTGGTCGGAGACATTGACTAGTGGCATTCCTTGAATCACTGCGTGTCTCTCTTGAATCTCCAATGCCATGTATGATATAATGGCTTGCAGTTTTGTTCCGATGGCTAATGTTAACTTTAAACCAACCCAAGTTAGCTCATAGGACATTGGTTACTTTTATTGTCTTCATGTAACATGAGCTCATTATACAAGATTACTTAATAACTTACCAGAGGAGGAAACATGGTGATTACGGCAGTAACATACCATCCTATCAAGTTTTTATTACACTATTAGTTTCTATGCTGGAAACGGAAGAAAATGTTGTGTTATAATGTGGGAAACCAATAAACGAAGACTAACCATGAACATCAAAGAGTAAAAATAGCATCACAAAGGCCCATAGCTCGGGTCTGCGCGTAATCACAAAAATAAAATAAAAAATGAAGACACTATGAAGCAAAAAAATGCAATGACGAGTGCATCAAGAATATGGGTTAACCTTATTCCTACAACCACCTTGAAGTCATCTTCCAATGACCTTTTGATGTACTTTTGAAAATCAAACTTCATGCCAGGTGCTAAATGGACCTACAATACAAAGGTTTTAGAATAATCACAATTGTATATTTTTATAAACTTTAAGATTAAATGTACAATATCAAAGAACTCACACTTATGAATCCATGTCGCATTGTCAAATAATCGGATTTTCTGACTGATCTGAGTATCTGACGAAAGAAGCACATCTGAAAGAAATGCGAAAATGTATTAGTTCTCTAATTCCATGATAAATTGAGAGATGTACATGAATTAGAGTATAGGCAAATCATACTATGTAGAAGGAGACTTTATTCCTAGCCCAAGGATTGACATGTTCTCGGACAAATGATGTCTCATGTGTCAGTCTAAATCTTGATGGGTCTGATAAAAATCAAATAAAGCAAACAATCTAAGTGGACAGTAAATATTGGTGGAGATAACATCTAAAGACATTTAAATATACCATTCAGCATCTCTTGTTCGTGGATGACCTCTTGCTCCCATACTTTCCAGCCGCGAATCTTTTTTTTTTAATAGTTAGTGATTACATCAATAAAAATGATCATAATCAAGAGATGGATACGTGCACTGTAACAAATACCTTGGCTCTTCCAAGCATCATGGTTATAGCACTGTATATCACATGAAAGACTGCCAAGAAGAATATGAAAATATGCACTTGATGTAAGGCGTTCAGAGATATTAGTGGCGTATAATCCTGAAACAATAAAATTCAATGTTATCAATAACAACACTATAAGAATTCCATGGCACTAGCTGATGATATAGGAACCGTAAATAGTACACTCTTGCAATTCACTGGAGGAGCGTCGGCCAGAGAACGACGTTGAATAGATGAAATCTGCATTTTGTGGACTGCTTTCTTGTCATCATCATCACTAGGTCCGTCGTAAGGACCACAAAACGACATCGCATGGCCGTACTTTGAGGGAACACATATGCTCGCAATGTAGTTTTGGCCAAACGTCAGAAGCAGAGAAATAAATCCCAAAACCATAAGCTCTACAAATTACACAAGAAAACAGGTTACGATTTATTGATTTGACTGCCAAAAAAATCGACCAATTTGTGGATTGTACCATTTTTAATCTTCTCAAGAGCTTCAAACAAGGCTTTTTTCTTCTTTCGCTCGAAAACCTGCCACAATGTAAAGTGTGATCAGAAAGTAATAGAGAAACAGAAGACAACATTAGGTTGTATATATAACATATGTATATGAAATAACCTCGCCGACTTTGTGAATGATAAGTTCCAAAATAATGGAGATCAAGATGATAACACCACAAACCGTGGAGACAGCCCATGTCGGGGTCTGATCAAGCTGTCTCGGACCTTCTCCACCTCCACTACCTCCACCACCTCCAGCCATTTTCTTTAGAGATGAATCAAACGTGACAAAATTCTCTAAGGTTTTCTAATATTATTTTGCAATCATAAATCCAATCTAAACCGAGAAGAGATAACACAATATTCATTCACAGAAGCTGCTGGGGGTAAGAGAGACAAAGATGGCACAAAGAAAATGGGAGAATTGTTGCCATTGAGGTGCATACGAAAATAGTAGAGGAAATGTAGACAAATCCGGTGAGC